GCAGATTTCGCGAAATATAATTCCCTCGAAAAAAACCACTTATACGGTACACCATGCTATTACAATTTAATTCATACATACATGTACACTAAACATGTATTATAATGATATTAAAAATCTTATATTTTCATTCTCACCTCAAGCGCTGACAATGAATTAAAGTTTTCAATATCTTCAGATATTTCTTTGATTTCGTTAGATGATAGATCTAGTCTAGTCAGTTCCACCTGGTCCCACCATCTCTCATCAACATCAAATGAAGTAGTACTACCATCAGGAGGATCAATATTGAGTCTCCACAGTTTAGGAGGAATAACACTAATGCCCCTGTAATTATACACATTCACCCACTAACTTTCATACATCCACATGTTCATTAATGTGTCATAAAAATGAAAATCAAAAAATCATTAAAGACATTTTTAGTGAATTAAAAAAAAACATGTAACAAGCCTCCTACCTGTTTGACAGGTTCAGTGAACCGGTTTTACGAGCTTGTTTCAATAAGGATTCTGGTACAGTCCCCTCCTTACCTACCTCATCACTTTGACTAGGAGAATTGAAGAACTTGGGATTTGGTTTGAGTCTAGTAGAACCAGCAGGAGATTTTCTACTGGCACCACGACTGGAACTCATTTTATGAATTTTGGATAAATGGGTGTGGTCTTACTATGTTGCATAGTTTGGGTGGGGCTGGTATTTTGGAAGCTGAAGAATGGCATCTAAAAGTGAGGGCCACTATTCTCTTCTCTTTGTATCTCTTTGATTCATTCTTTGTCTCTCTTACTCTCTCACTTACTTTACTCCTCTGTATCCTGTCCTTATTCTAACTCGTCGCTATATTACTGTTACTCTGTTACTGGTACCTCTTGTTCTCTATAGACTATCAACCAGTGGAGAGGAGTGGACACTCCACAGTAAAGGTAGGAGACTACCTATATATGTGGGGTGGGCTCGGGTCTAGAGTGCTCTATGATGTGATGGAGGTGTATCACTTACCAACTGGTGCTTGGGACCAGAAACCTACCACTGGTACCCCACCACCAGGTACCTGGGGCTATTCATCTGTTGCTATTGGGAAGGACATATATTATTTTGGTGGATATGGTGGTGATTATCAAAACAGCTTACATTGTTTCAATGTGGATTCATTCAAGTGGAGGGGACTCTCTCCTTCTAGTACTGATTATGGTCCAATCA